ATAAGCGATATCCTATAGGCCTATGGAAAATGTAGCAAGTGTCGCTGTCATCATTCTTGCTGCTTCCAGTTCAGTAGCCATACCTGTGAGATCAGGTAGATAGCCTAAGCATGGGCAGAGAAGGACGGGGTAGTTTTCTTTCCAAGGAACTGTACAGTACTCTGCTCTCTTCAAACTACATCTAGCATATTGGCTGATATCGCCCAGTAATACAATATAAGGACCATGTGAAAAGCTCTGGTAATTTAACTTATTTCTGAAGTTATTTTTGCGCATTTCATATTGCCTATAGGGCGCAAAATTACTAGGACCATGTCTGGCAACTGAGCTGTGTCACATACGCCTAAAATAACATTGCGGGACTGCGGTTGGGTTTGGGACCAGTTCTTGTGGTAGCACACGGGAGTTGGACAGAAAGCCAGCGGGTGCGGGCGGGAGCGGGATGAAGAAATCGGTCCCACGCAGACCTCTGCTGTGCACCACAGTGAAGCCTGTAACGTTAGAGCTGTTTATTACTGTGTCAGTGTGAAAAGTAGGGAATTAGCTAGGGAAACTGACAGATCAATAACGTACATTGCCATACTGACTAATAAAACTCACATTGCACTGAAAAAACGTCAGAATATCAATCTTCAATCGTTTGGCCGATGGTTTCATCGTTTGATTCAGGTCTAGTGTCATTTAAGGCTGAACGATTTTGGAAAATAATCTAATTGCGATTTTTTGCCCCCAATATTGCGATTGCGATTTAATATGCGATTTAATTTATTTATCCTTTTTCCCCTACAAAACATAATGAATGATTTAAATATGACCAACACAATAGTATATACATTTAGTGTGAAATGTTCTTTCCCATAGGCTGGGTCTATTTGTTAGAATTAAATTCAAACATGTATGACTTGAAATAAATGACATTTTTATTGAACTGCTCATTACAGAAACATCTGTGGCTTTGCCACTGTGCATTTAAATAATTTAAACAAAGGCATGAACTTTGTAAACACTGTGTGCAAAAGGTACAGTCTTAAGAAAAAAATAATTTTAAATTGTATGTATCTTACTGCTCCCAAGTCAGTAACATTTCACACAACTGAAACAAGGAATTTGCTTTGAAAATATTTTGTAAAATCAAAGTAAATAAAGTTATAAATAAAAAATGAGAAATGCACTTTTAATTTAGACAAACTATTTTTTATAAACGATTTGAATATTATAATATAAAATAGATGAGCCTCACTTATCTCAAGTACACAACAATAACACACCACACAGACTAAAGTTCACTACGAGTATGGCACTGCCAGCCATACTTATCCAACAGTTCTGTTCTCAGTGGCTCACAGGTTTTTTGCTAAGAAAACCAGAATATTGACTTTTTCTGGCTTCAAGGCTGAGCGAGTGCAAGTCACAATATTCCCTCCTGTGCTAAAAAGACGCTCTGAGGGAGCGCTTGTAGCAGGTACACAAAGATACTTGCGTGCCATGGTGCACAACTGTGGGTAGCTGATCTTGTGCACCCTCCACCAAGCCAATGGATCATCTTCTCCATCAATGGTAGGAGTCATCAGGTAATTGTTTATCTCTGCCTCTGCGACATCTTCAAGATTTACAGGCAAAGAAGGAGAGGCTGAACTGGTCTTGAAAAAACTGCCAAGAGACCTCTTCGTCTTTTCCCCCAAGGACTGTGCACTTTGAGGCATCTGAACAGTTTCAGTACGAGACCTCTTCTCCTATTAGATGAAAACAACAGCCATTAGTTTTCCAGTTAGATTTTACAGAAAATTTTTGTTTTTGTGAAATACATAATTATTTACCCAATGATATGTACGTTGTGCCAAGTCTACTATCTCTGTCTTCAGACGAGTCTTGATAGCAGGGATGTTGTCTGTACTGATGTACTGTATTTTGAACCTAGGGTCCAGGAAACAGGCAACATCCAAAAGCTCCTGGATGTTTGGGTCTCCATATTTGTTATTGAGGTATGCTAGGACTTTGGTTTTTATTGATTTAGTCAGGTCAGTGTCCTCAGCATCTTCAGCCAGGACTGATGTGGCAAAAAGGTGGAGAACTGGCTTGAGGTAGGAGATGCTTACATACTCCTCTCCAGAAAGAGCATCAGTAAACTCCAGTAGAGGATGCAGTGCCTTGTGAATCGACTCCAACACGTCAATATCCTGCCAGGTTGGGATAAGGGAGCGTGCATATCGATCTCCAGACAATACCTGAGAAATGGCTTTGGCCTGTTCAAGCACTCTGGCAATCATCATTTCTTTAGAACCCCATCTTGTTGGGCACTCCGTTATGAGGTTGTGCTCAGGGAGTTTGAGCTCTCTCTGTGCCTCCGTCAGGGCTGCTTTCTTCTTCCAACTGTGGGAAAAGTGCCCCACCAGCTTCCTGCACAGTGCTGTTGCCCTTGACACTCTGTCATCTTTGAGTGCATTTTCTAAAAGAAATAAAAAGTAGTGTATTACACACAATTTGAGTTTTGATACAAGGCTCTCACTATTACACACTCAAATTAGCTGTAATTCTGAAATACACACATCCACAACACATCCTCTCTCTCTCTCTCAATTCAAAGGGTCTTTATTTGCATGTCAATTCTCTCTCTCTTTCTCTCTCTCTCTCTCTCATAAACACTAAAAAAACATGTAAAAAACAAAAACAAGAAAAGAAAAAAAATGCAGGTGGGCATTCCACCACAGACAGACATATGATATAAGCAAGTAAAATGAATTTACATATTAGAAAAGGAGTGGAAGTATGAATTTATTTAATCCCATCCGATTTATATAATATCATTTATATATATTTGTATATTCAGCTTTACTAATCGACGCATCTCTCTCTCTCGCACTCGCGCACACACACACACACAAACACACACACACACACACACACACACACACACACACACACACACACACACACACACACACACACACGATAACTTACCAATGGCAAGATGTAATCTGTGGCCAAAACATTGGAGCCTCGTCCATTCATTAAGCCGCGCAGCAAGCACCATATTCGACGCGTTGTCCGTCGTGATGCAGACGTGATTCTCCTCGTGGAGATCCCAGCTGACAAGCCCTTCTCTCAGGCCGGCTGCAATATTTTCCCCTGTGTGATCGTCTGGGAAGTAGGTAGTTTGTAGGCAGCGAGCTCGGAGGTTGAAATCTTCATCAATAAAATGGACTGTAAGACTCTGGTACGGCTCAGCTGTGCGGCTTGACCACATATCAGTAGTGCTAGCAAAAAACTCCACCGTTTTAAGTTCCGCAGCGACTTTCTCTTTGCACTTTTTGTACAGCTCCGGTATGGCAGTCTGACTGAAGTATGTGCGGGAGGGTATACTGTAACGTTTATCAAGCGTATGTATTAATGCCATGAACCCAGGCTTGGTCACCGTGCTGAGAGGCATCATATCTTTGGCTATGAACTCGGTTATTGTCCGAGTGATTTCTCCGTGCCGTTTTGAATTACGTTCATACGGAGTGACACTTTCGAACATTTCTGTCAGTGATCCCTGTCTTGAGGTATTTGGCTTGTCTCGCGCACTGATGCTCGGCATTTTGGTCATACAACTGTCATGCATTGATTTGTGGTATTTTTTTAAGTGCTGAAACAGGTTTGTAGTGTTACCCCGTGAAGTAGCAATCGGAGCACGGCATGCTCTGCACAACACCTGACGCTGCTCAGCATCTTCTTTTTTAAAACCAAAATAGTTCCACACCACCGACGTGCTGTTCCTCTTCGATATTAAAGTATCAGCTGTGTCAGTTTCTGACTGTTCCGTCGAGCAAGAGGCCATTGCGCTGGACAGCATGAAAAGTCGCGTCACGTGACCACCTCAAATCGCGCACGTTGCGATTAGAAAATCGCGTTCAGTCAAATCGCGATATTATCGCGAATGCAATTAATCGTTCAGCCCTAGTGTCATTGATGCAAAAATAATAGCTAACGTTAGCCAACTTTTGGCCAGCTCTCCCTCTAACGGTACATCAACTGGTGAAAGCTAGCCAAGTGTATTTACTTCTGAAACGGGACAAAACAAAGGCTACAAAACATTTTCATACAAACAACAGCTGTTCGATAGCGATATGAGGTGGCTATTATTACTATCTGACAGATAACTAGGGGCTAGAGCTGACCTGGCTGTGGTAACATTAGCTACTAGCTAGCATAGCTAACTTATTCATTCACCTCAGTCGAGAGGGGATGAAACATTAGCTAACGTTACATGTCAGTTACAATACTAGCTCAGCACTGCGAATAAACACTAGTTTAGTTTTTTTCTGTTAAGTTAAACAGCAGTTACATCAGTCAACTAAAGAGTAGCCAGTTTCTGCTCTGCTTGCTTTTACAACTCGGTTTTTGTATCACATTGCAATGATAAAACCTGGGGGTACAAAAATGCAATTTCAGAAAGTTGCGCCCCTGATTACAAGTGTTTACAGTTTAGAGTTTTGTACATCTTGATCAGCCAGTAGTAACTCATTGTCAGTAATAAGGTTATTACCGTTAGTTCTCCTGAACACCCCTTGGACTTCTGTGGTTAGGGAGAAGACAGCTTTTTGGGTCAGATAGACAGGGTGAGATTGTAATGATAGTACTTATGTCAAGAGAAGAAGGAGCTGGATTATGTTTTATACAGATTAAATGTCATTTATTTTTAGAGCATAAAATGCTTTTCTTTTGAAAGAAGTGCTCTCATGTCTGTGAGCCTATCTGTGTGTGTGAGTGTCTGTGTGTGTCTGTGTGAGAGGCGACTCAAATGTAGAGCATATGGCACAACAAACAGGATCATTCACATAAGTCGCTCTGGATAAGAGCGTCTGCTAAATGACTTAAATCTGAAATATATCTCCGCATTCATCAGACAGCAAGAACGTTAGCAACGTTCCGGTAAATGTATGCAGGCCTATCCAATGTTACAGTATGTTGCTGACAGTCAATACTGATAAACCAATCAAAGAGTAGACCTGTTGAGCAGGATGGACAAAAACACAGCATCCAATGGCACTTTGTAGGGGGCAGTATCATTGAAGTGCTGCACTTAGCTTACTAGCCTTCCCACAATTCACTTGCTCTACCTGCTAGCTGTTTGAAGAAATATATCTTAATCTGTCAATGCTTCTCTCTTCTCTCTCTGCTGTGTGCCGCTCTCTCTCTCTCTCTCTCTCTCTCTCAGCTGTCTCCTCAAAGGTGCCTTTGAGGCCGGCAGACAGGCTCCTGCTTCTTCCTGCTGTACCAGCCTCCCCCATCTCCTGGGAGTTCTGGTCATATGTCCTCTAAACTGCCACGCGCACACATTAGCAATTGCACTCATTAGCATAGTAAGTGACTGGAAGGCACTAAATAAGGCATGTTAAAACATAGAGCTATGAACTACTGTGAGGCTTGAGCAGAGCTCTGATGATTCAGTGCCCTTGTCCGGCCAGCTGTGTGTCTGGGGATACAGCAGGTCGTGATAGAGTAGCAGTACTAGAAGAGGTACTTGCAGACTTTAGACTGAACACTGTGTAGAGTTTGTGTTCCACCAAAGCAGGGGTGAGACAGCTTGAAGTTGTTGGGTTGTTGGATTTCCTGGCCATCTCTGCTATTCATAGGTTCTTATGGTTTGCTAGCAGTAACATAACATTTGGACTATAACAGCCATCCTGAGGCCATATCCCAAGTCATAACAATGACAAAGCATAAATCACTTATTTATTGCTATTGTACCTCCCCACAACCTTGTGATTTATTATCACTGTCATGTTTGTGAGTAGAAGATTTGTCAATGTGAGACTGTAATAGACATTAATAATACATCACATCTGGACAAAGTCTGTTCAGGACGAAGACTGCTCAGTTGGAGATTGTAATTCCTAGGGTTTGGAAGGGCAAATCTTTTTAAATTAGATTTGTGAACATCTTGTCATGTCGTGACACCCAGTCCTAAAACGACAACATCTGTCCTTCCTCTCGCTCACTTTCGCTCTTGCGCTCTCTCTCTCTCTCTCTCTCTCTCTCTCTCTCTCTCGCTCTCTCTCTCTCTCTCTCTCTCTCTCTCTCTCTCTCTCTCTCTTTCTCTCTCATTATCCTTTCTGCTGTCTCACATGGGTGGATGTGTGGTTATCATACAGTACAAGCAGCATCAGCAGCATTCATCACTAATCTCCCCAAGTCACCCTCTTATCAGCACCACACATCTGACACATTCACACTTAATTTAGACACAAGTATTTTTCCTCCATCTATTATTTTGGCTAGCAGAGACATTTCACCATGAAGGATTGTGTGTGAGGTGCTAAATGTAACTTTAGTAACTGCATCACAGTTCATTCACAATGGGAAGCAGTAGTTATTTGCTCTGGTGGTACGTGTTTTTAGAAGAGGTTCTCTCAGACTGGGGCTTTGCTAAACAAGAAACACTGTGTGTAAATCCTTACTATCCAGCTGTCTGTCTGTCACCATTTAATTAAGTATTCTGAGGTTAACCTCCTTCTTAAAAATGTCTTATATATTGCCGCCCCTCTGTTATGTTGCCCTGTTTGAACCGTCTCTTGTCCCAATACTTGGGTAGCATACGTACTAGTTTATGTTTCTTGTTACTCTGGAAGTACGTCATCGAAATTTGACGGTAATGAATACAGCAGTCACGGTCATGTAATAAACTCTTGAGTGCTTTGTTGTTTACCTTCTAGTAGATCATGTTTGAGCTGGCCACATTGAAATGCCTAGGTGACCTGGCTACTATGTGCAGGATGCAGCTCCGAGACAACAAGTGCAGTTCTGATTAACCGCATCGTGATCAGTCTGATTCACTGCACCTCAAAGCAACCGTGCCTAATGAGACTCCTGGGTATTATGGATGTCTGTTTTAAAGCAGTAATATTCTCCTGGGGAAGATAATGACTATGTAATCACTATATGGATTCAACATTGTAATTGTTCCCATTATGGAACAATATTGGCATCAAGCAATGCCCACATTCACTACTACACAACTTTGGGTTTCAGTTGTTGATTGGCTGCTTGGCTGCTTTAGAGGCCTGTCCAACAATGTGTTTGGAGATTATGACTACAGTATTTTCTCGATTAGTTGAGCAGACTTGCTATTAGTTGCCATGGAAACTGTCTTATTAAATGGGTTAGTGTGTTTATTCACTGAGCCCACTGAGGGAGCACACAAAAGAGATTGTGTGTCTTAATGGGTTTCTTCCTGGTTACATGTGATCCTCTGTAGCTCAGCTGGTAGAGCACGGCGCTTGTAACGCCAAGGTAGTGGGTTCGATCCCCGGGACCACCAATACACAAAAAAAAATGTATGCACGCATGACTGTAAGTCGCTTTGGATAAAAGCGTCTGCTAAATGGCATATTATTTTTATTATTTATTATTTATAAAGGTTAAATAATAAAAACGAATAAAAAAAGGTCAACTGCTATTAAAATGCCTGCTTGCAACACAAGGACACAGAGACAGCTATGATATCTTAATACCATGGTTTAGACTACAAATATACCTTTGATAAGGTTGTTTAAGTGATGTTCAGTAGCCTAAAGTCACATACACATTTTAGACAACGTTAGAATGATGATGTGTGAAGAATAGAAAAGTAACAAAGACAGACAATTTCTGACCATTGCAATCATCCTCTAACAACAAATCCTGACTGAACGGTGTCTCTCCTTCACAGAGAAATGATGAAGAGGCTGTGGTGGACAGAGGTGGAACACGGTCCATGCTGAAAACCAACTTTGAAAAGGAGGAACTCGAAGGTACATCAACTTTATGAAGTACAATGCCTTAAGGCCTTAATTCAGTTTTGTGGAAGGAAGAATAGAAGGCCACCTACAGTGAGGGAAAAAAGTATTTGATCCCCTGCTGATTTTGTACGTTTGCCCACTTACAAAGAAATGATCAGTCTATAATTTTAATGGTAGGTTTATTTGAACAGTGAGAGACAGAATAACAACAAAATAATCCAGAAAAACACATGTCAAAAATGTTATAAATTGATTTGCATTTTAATGAGGGAAATAAGTATTTGACCCCTCTGCAAAACATGACTTAGTACTTGGTGGCAAAACCCTTGTTAGCAATCACAGAGGTCAGACGTTTCTTGTAGTTGGCCACCAGGTTTGCACACATCTCAGGAGGGATTTTGTCCCACTCCTCTTTGCAGATCTTCTCCAAGTCATTAAGGTTTCGAGGCTGACGTTTGGCAACTCGAACCTTTAGCTCCCTCCACAGATTTTCTATGGGATTAAGGTCTTGAGACTGGCTAGGCCACTCCAGGACCTTAATGTGCTTCTTCTTGAGCCACTCCTTTGTTGCCTTGGCCGTGTGTTTTGGGTCATTGCCATGCTGGAATACCCATCCACGACCCATTTTCAATGCCCTGGCTGAGGGAAGGAGGTTCTCACCCAAGATTTGACGGTACATGGCCCCGTCCATCGTCCCTTTGATGCGGTGAAGTTGTCCTGGCCCCTTAGCAGAAAAACACCCCCAAAGCATAATGTTTCCACCTCCATGTTTGACGGTGGGGATGGTGTTCTTGGGGTCATAGGCAGCATTCCTCCTCCTCCAAACACGGTGAGTTGAGTTGATACCAAAGAGCTCGATTTTGGTCTCATCTGACCACAACACTTTCACCCAGTTCTCCTCTGAATCATTCAGATGTTCATTGGCAAACATCAGACGGGCATGTATATGTGCTTTCTTGAGCAGGGGGACCTTGCGGGCGCTGCAGAATTTCAGTCCTTCACGGCGTAGTGTGTTACCAATTGTTTTCTTGGTGACTATGGTCCCAGATGCCTTGAGATCATTGACAAGATCCTCCCGTGTAGTTCTGGGCTGATTCCTCACCGTTCTCATGATCATTGCAACTCCACGAGGTGAGATCTTGCATGGAGCCCCAGGCCGAGGGAGATTGACAGTTATTTTGTGTTTCTTCCATTTGCGAATAATCGCACCAACTGTTGTCACCTTCTCACCAAGCTGCTTGGCGATGGTCTTGTAGCCCATTCCAGCCTTGTGTAGGTCTACAATCTTGTCCCTGACATCCTTGGAGAGCTCTTTGGTCTTGGCCATGGTGGAGAGTTTGGAATCTGATTGATTGATTGCTTCTGTGGACAGGTGTCTTTTATACAGGTAACAAGCTGAGATTAGGAGCACTCCCTTTAAGAGTGTGCTCCTAATCTCAGCTCGTTACCTGTATAAAAGACACCTGGGAGCCAGAAATCTTTCTGATTGAGAGGGGGTCAAATACTTATTTCCCTCATTAAAATGCAAATCAATTTCTAACATTTTTGACATGCGTTTTTCAGGATTTGTTTGTTGTTATTCTGTCCCTCACTGTTCAAATAAACCTACCAATAAAATTATAGACTGATCATTTCTTTGTCAGTGGGCAAACGTACAAAATCAGCAGGGGATCAAATACTTTTTTCCCTCACTGTATATGGCCACCAGAGATAAGGTTGTTTTTTAGATTGAGCCAACTCCTGCTAAGACTGAGGCTGTCCTAATATGGACACCGTACACATGAGACTACAGAGGGTGATAACAAAAGAGCTGCTTGAGCACACAAAAGCACTTAGCTCCAATAACAAATTAAGAGTCTGCAGAACCATTTATGCTGAGCTTTCAAGGACGTTACTTAAAATTCATTTAATCTAAATTTCCAGCAATGCATTCATCATAGTACTGGAGGCAGTGATTAGTCCTGATACCCTAGTGTTTGTGGGTGGGATAACTGGGATTGGTTTGAATAGCAGAGGCTGCTAGCTGCCTGGCAGTAGCCCCAGGCCTGAAGGAGCACTCACAAAGCAGGCTGGAATCAGGGTGGATTACCCTCACACTGTGACATTACCACATCTATTCAGCCTCAGTAATATCAGCAGGGTGACGATCCACCCCCGCTGCCTGCTCATCCTCCCCATTCTGCAGTTCTGGTTGCATAGATCCCAGGTCAACACCATACGGTTTATTTTGAGTTTCTAGATGAGACCAGTGTGAATTACTAATCAATTTCAGAATATTAGGCATATTTATAGAACTATTTATACAATATTCATGCTGTTCACAGATGGTAAAATATACTTTGCAATTGGTGTACTTCACTCAATAGTTTGCTTTTCCTGTATTATTTTGACAACTGTCCCATTTATGTAACTCAGTTTAACAGTAATATCAAATCTGATTTTACTAAAATATGTTTGATATCGAATGTCAAATCTGTTCACTATTTTTAGATGAGTTTTTATTACATTATTTATTCATCCTACCAGATGATGCACTAAGGGGATTTTAAGCGAGACCAAGCCTGTATTGTACTTCTGTGGCAGATGTTGAAGCTAAAAATATTCCCAGAGATTTATTTTTAGACTTAGACTGATACAAAGTAACGATATCAGTAAAAGGGTTGCATACATGCCAGTTTAATGTCAAAGAGACGTGTGGTAGGTATCGCTCAATAAAATACCAGTGACATGACCTTTGAATCATAAATCCAGATTATTCTAAGATACAGTATATTAATGCAATTTGGTAATGCTTTATTTTATAGCCCTTTGTAATCTGGTATTTACTTGGTATATATATTGTATTGAGTAACAAACTAAGTCGAGTAAATTGTAACCCATAATGTCTGTCTTTTTTGTGGGCATATTGCTGTTGGAAGTTGACCCATATATATAAACAAAAGGAGCAGGCTGAATCAATAACTTCTCTGAATTAAATCATTTCTCTTCTTCTCTACTTCTTACCTTATTCTTCTTTATTTTGTCTTATCTTATTTCTCTCTCTGTGATGGCTGCCTCCAGGTCACAGGACACTCTACATCGGGGTACATGTCCCCCTGGGAAGGAAGAGCCACCGGAGGCATCGGCATCATGGACACAGACACAGGAAGAGGAGCAGGGAGCGGGACTCTGGAGTGGAGGATGGAAGAGATTCTCCCACATACAGTAAGTTTTGCCACTCTGGCTGGCTGGCACATTTCAAAGCAGCAGCCGAATTGTCTGGTCCTTTGGGGTAGAATAATGCAATTTTCCTCCTAAAAGATATAGGATTCTGTAATAATATGTTACGTCTATATGGCTGCATAATGCATTTCAAAAGAGGGGATTAATGTCCACTCACCGCAAAAGAAAAGCTATCTGGACTCAAAACTCAATGTATACTCATCAAATGTACTCATAACATATACTCATCAAATATAGTAGCTATATTTATGAAAAAGTGTATGTGCATAGTCTGCTGCAGAGCTCCCTAGTCAGGGAGTGTGTATAGCAGACAGTACTGTAAGTGATGACCTTACTTGACCCTGCGCTCCAGACACGCCATCCCAGAGAGTGCAGTTCCTCCTGGGCACAGAGGATGACGATGAGGAGCACATCCCCCATGACCTCTTCACTGAGCTGGACGAGATCTGCCTGAAAGACGGAGAGGATGCAGAGTGGAGGGAAACCGCCAGGTAAGGAGTCACATGACACACCCCTGGCCCATCAGCCAATCACCGCCAAGTCATGTTATTACTGAATGCTTTTAGTCAATTCCAACGTTGGTCCATAGGTTGTTTTTTACCTGTTGCTTTTAATCATGCTAAGTGATGACATTGTTATATATAATATGATTTATTATCTATAATTTATTCCTTATTATAATATCTTAATGTCTGAAACATTAAACAACTGTTACCTGAAAGAGTTAACGTTACATAAAGAGAGATTGTTGTGTAACCTTGGAGATGGGCTAAATAATGCTCTAATTATAAAGACTGCTGCATGTGCAATGCATGGGAGCCCAGCTCTAAAGGAAATGCTTGTTTACTGGAAGTACACAAGCATAATGTCTGGACTGGAGAAATATCCTGTTGTGCAGTACTTTCTGTGCTACAGTGCATCTAGACACAACTGTCACATTGTCACATATTGACGGACAGAGCTCTACTTGCCATAGCTTGTCAGTCAGTCAGTCATTCAGTCAGTCACTCACTCAGTCAGTCAGTCCCTGCCACGGTGTAGGAGGTGTTTAGTTTCCCGTGAATAAAACAAGGTTTATGCAGACACAGAGTGACACTTATTCTGTATTGTCTTGGGAAAGTCACCTGTTGAAATATCCTGGGGTATTAAATGCTTTTTTGGATGACCAAGTCCCTCAGTCGAGCACCTGATTCCCTTTTTTGTTCAAGCTGGAATGAAATGTATTTGTGTAGGCTTTTTGGTAATGTCTGATGTGTCCTTGGTATCCCCATCAGTGTAAAGTGAGCTCTATCAGCACATGGCTTCTAGATGGCTGGACAGCTCGCTGTCATCTATCCCATGGTCCCTTGGCTCAGTGTTACTGGTCTGCACTCTTAGAAAAAAGGGTTCCAAAAGGGTTCTTCAGCTGTCCCCATAGAAGAAGGTAGAACCCTTTTTGGTTCCAGGTAGAACCATTTTTGGTTCCAGGTAGTACCCTTTCGGGGTTCCATTTAGAACCCTCTGTGGAAAGGGTTCTACCTGGAACCAAAAGGTTCTTCAAAGGGTTCTCCTATGGGGACAGCCGAAGAACCCTTTTACAAAGGAACTCAGGTATTTAACAAGGGAAATTGGTTGCAGGTGCGCTCAGAGCATAGAGATGTGTAGAGATCACTAGTGCACAGAAGCCTGTATAACATGGGCAGCGCCATTTGAGGACTACACATCTCTATGGCAATTTTAGAGACACTTAACAAAAAAGTGCAATTAAAGGAACAGTTAACTAAAAAGTTAGAGAAAAAATGAGAGCCTTTTCTACAGTTCTAGATAACACATTATTTTCTAAGAGTGTGGGCATTTGTCCCTTATACAGGTGGCTGAAGTTTGAGGAGGACGTGGAGGATGGAGGGGAGCGGTGGAGTAAGCCCTACGTGGCCACGCTGTCCCTGCACAGCCTGTTCGAGCTGCGCAGCTGCATCCTCAACGGCGTCGTGCTGCTGGACATGAGGGCCAACTCTGTGGAGGAGGTAGCAGGTACTGTAGAGCACTGAGTGGCATCAGGAACTACCCCATACACCTTTGTCGTATTCATTAGTGCATACCATAGCAAAATGATTTGCAACGTAAAACAAAAATAAGCATTTCTTATTGGACAGTTCCAGTTAGGTCCCTCACCGTTTTGGCTCGTTTGCTTCCGTTCTGTTCCAAGTGAATACGACCCTGTTCTATGATCTTCATTGTACAATTGTAAACATTGTAATCAGAATGTAATGGATGGAATCCTAGTTGCTGTTGAACTGTTGACTGTGTGGTCCTGTTTGTCAGACATGGTGTTGGACCAGCAGGAGACCACAGGTCCACTGGGGGACGAGGTGAGGAGGAAGGTGAGAGAGGCACTCCTCAAAACGCACCATCACCAGAACCAGAAGAAGTTGGCCAACCGCATCCCCATTGTCCGCTCCTTCGCTGACATTGGCAAGAAGCAGTCCGAGCCCCACTCCATGGACAAGAACGGTCAGTAACAGGCAGCCCTCTGCTTAGGGTTGCAAAATTCCTCTAACCTTCTCAGGTTTTCTAGAAATCCCAGTTGGAAGATTCCTGGCATCAGGAGGGAATAAGCAGGGAATCCGTGAATCCTCCAAACAGGATTTCTGGAAAACCTGGGAATTTTGGGAAAGTTACCGGAATTCAGCAACCATTCCGCTGCCACATGACTCCCGAGTGGCACAATGGTCTAAGGCACTGCATCACAGTGCTAGCTGTGCCACTAGAGATCCTAGAGATCCCGGCCGCGACCGGGAGACCCATGGGCGGCGCACAATTGGTCCAGCGTCGTCCAAGGTAAGGGAGGGTTTGGCCGGCAGGGATGTGGGTTTGTTTCCCACGGAGGGCCAGTATAAATTTTTTTAAAAAATAAAATACATGTATGCATTCACTAACTGTAAGTCGCTCTGGATAAGAGCGTCTGCTAAATGACTAAAATGTAAAATGTACATTAATGGTTCAGGATGACTGCAAGTTTTTCAGTTCTCCTCACTTTGTACTGCTGGTCACAGCAACATTGAAATTGGAAATAATCTTGTTGTAAGTAGTGCTCTCAGTCATCCCATGTGGATGCCTTTCTCATTCTACATGACATTGTCCATGTTTGACCTTCTTTTCAGTGTCTCAGTGTGACTCTCTTCTCTTGTTTCCTTGTGTGTGTGTGTGTGTGTGTGTGTTTGTTTGTGTGTATACGTGGATGTATGTATGTGTGTCTGGCAGGCGGCCCATCACTCTGTTCTACCCTTAAGTCCTCCTTCTGGGGCTCATTTATGGCAGCGGGGTCTAGGAGTGACAGGCAGGTCTCATCCTGCACCCCATGGCCACTCTGTTGTCCCCAGTGTGTCTCCTCCTCCATCTCCTCTCCACTCCCGACCTCATCCACCACCCACCCCCCTCCAGCCACTCCACACCCAGACCCCAGACCCCAGAAACAGGGTCCCAGACCCCAGTCTGATATGCAGCCCGTGGACAAGGAGGATGACCCGGACCCAGGCAACTCTTAAACCTTGACAGAACCTTTCTCTACTGCTAGCACTTCCTAAAACATAACTTGTGAAGGTGGTAATCTCAAAGTTGTTTCGGTCAATAATAGTTAGAGGTTGTGTTTTGAACTTCAGATAATTTAATCAAGTTAGTTATAGCCCATCAGGTGAGAAAGTGTATAGTATAGACAATATCTCATATCATATGAGCCGTACATTGTATTTTATCGAGCACAGTGAGAAATCAGTGGAAGTTACTAGATATAACTATCAACAGGGATAAAGTTGAAAGAGTTGCATGAAAGAGTTACTGAACTTATCATTAACATCGACTATATATTAATTTCTCTGTTTTTAATATCAGACTATGTTAAAATATAGTGATAGAGTGTAGGCCTAACAAGTGTAGAAGATGTTGACAGGAAAATATTCAGAAGAGAAAAGGCCCTGAGCAGAGGTGTTCACTGATAATAGGGTTGTGGGTTCGTTTCCCACGGGGGACCCGTATGAAAAAAGTATGAAAATGTGTGCACTCATTACTGTAAGTCGCTCTGGATAAGAGTGTCTGCTAAATGGCTAAAATGAAAATGTAAAATCATAAGGAACCTTTACGTTCCGCTGCAAATGATACCTCATTGAGAATGTCCATCACCTTTTACAGGAATTATGTTTCGGAAGCAAGTTTGCCAGCATTCCACATGCCAATTTTGATACATGAAGACCACCCAAAACCCTTTTAGCAAATCATTCTCTGCTGTAATTTAAATCAGAGCGGTTTGTCACAGGCACATTCATTCTAGTAGAGTTATGCAAAAGCTAAATTAAAACGTGGCAACAGCGAGTGCGTGACTAATAAACCAAACCGGGGCCATCTTAGTGAGGGCACCCTCCTGCTCATTGCAAGTAAGAACATTTCAATCTAAAGGGTTTGTCGCTGTGTTTCTTCATGGGCAGCAGCAGCTGACTCTGTAAATTGCTTTCAGACTTAGGGCTCTCATTGATTTCATGTGGAAATATGAGTCGAAATGAATCTTTGCAAGGCATGCTTTTATTTCTGAGTCTCTTGATTCTTAATGCAACCGCTAGTCACTGATAGCTTCCACTGGCTTGTGAACGGATCAAACACTGAAATTAGTATTTATCTGTACCCTCTCACTAATGAAAATGAATCCTTTCGATTTAAATCCTTCTTGCTCTACTCTGGCAGCTGTGGGCTAATTTCGTGTTTGTATCGGTCAGTCTCCTTGACACAATGATAATGCTGAAATCCTAATGGACAAGCTTCATCCACCCATCCTCACCAAGGCCATCCATGACTTCCATCCTTCACCATGCAGCCACTCATAGGCTTTATCTTCTGTCCTCTCTTGAGATCTGCACTAAATAAGGGTACTTTGCCAATGTCTAATAAATCCCAGATTACTTCAACCTTAGAGTGCAAATCTATAGATTACCAAAGCATTTTTGGTCATTTTGGTAGGCCAAGAGCTCTCTCTGTGTGACGATGCTGTGATTTATTACCATTGGCGCCTGCACTGCCGTGAAACCTTGGTGTTGGTCTGATATAGAGGTTTTAGTAGTTGACTTATTGGACTCTGTCATCTCTGTTTGATCTAGGTCAGGTGATTTCTCCCCAGACCTCTCTACCCGTCCCCAATGACGGCAAAGCTGAAATCAGCAGAGAGAACAGTGCTGTGGACTTCAGTAAGGTACAGTAAGACATTCTTACAATCAGGTCCCCCCTCTTATTCATTATGATTAAAAGGCAAAACCAATCCTAGATCAGCACTCCAAGTCTGAGACGATTTATGAATACGGGCCTTGAACGTACTATCCTACTACAGTACCACATACTCAACATGCCAGTTCTGGCAGTTCAGGTGTGTATGAACACAATAATCTGTTCCATTTTCATTTGTTGTTTGTATGTATTGCTTGAAAAAATTGTTTAAACCATAAACTATGATTATAACCATACTATAAATATAGCAAACCAGTCATCTCACTCACACTGCCATTAACACTGTAGATTATAGTAGGACAACAACAGTTTATCTTACCTCCGAATCCTACAATGATAACCTTTTGTCGGTAACCTTTTGTTCAGAGCCTTTTGTTCCCCTTCACCACAAGGTTTCCCTATTCTGTTAGCAGTGAGCATGGTGTTTATAACTGGGACTCTGATGCCCCTACTGCTTCCACTTAATGTTACAGCACTTCCATTTGACGCAGTGCAGCTCCATGGCAGACAGACAGACAGACAGACAGACAGACAGGATCGCAGCAGAATAGTGATTGGAGGATCAGTTAGCAGGCAGTCAGGCAGGCTCAGGTCTGGATGAATGTGTCACTGCGGGGGCAGACAGGGTATCAAGGAGATGATAACCTCTGGAAATGTTATGTAACTGATGATACCACTTTAGGCTGATGATGGCAATCTGCTGTAATATTTCATCATAACACATGGTCATATGTATGTTATGATGGTAATGTTATGAAATAGATGAAATAGGGTCCAGTTGGCTAATCTATTATGTATCTTAAGTCATCAACAGGATATTAATTACAAAAACACATAAGGTTCCAAAATTCTTATAACTATCCCAAAATTACCAGGTTTTCCAGTACTGGTAATCCTGGTTGGACAATTCCCCAAATCAGGAGGGAATTTTGCAACCCTAGTCACAGTAGGGATCAACAGTAGGGATTACGTTATGTTTGTTTTGAGAATGTATTTCATATTTCAGCTTTTCTTTTCCTATGCTCTTCTTTAGGATTGAGGATTTGCGATATTCACACAGTAAAATGCACCATTTAGACTCAACTAATGACTGCGTATTCTATCCTGTGTCCGTGTAGATAGACCTCCATTTCATGAAGAAGATTCCGCCGGGAGCGGAAGCGTCCAATGTGTTGGTGGGTGAGGCAGAGTTCCTAGACAAGCCTGTGGTGGCGTTTGTACGTCTCTCACCTGCAGTCATGCTCAACGGGCTGGCTGAGGTCCCCATCGTTACCAGGTTAGAAACACTGTGACCTCCATTTAGGGTTGCAAAATTGCAGTAACTTTCTCAAAATTCCCAGGTTTGCCAGAAATCATGGTTCGAAGATTCCTTGGAATCAGGAATACAGTGAGGGAAAAAAGTATTTGATCCCCTGCTGATTTTGTACGTTTGCCCACTGACAAAGAAATGATCAGTCTATAATATTATTGGTAGGTTTATTTGAACAGTGAGAGACAGAATAACAACAAAAAAATCCAGAAAAACGCATGTAAAAAATGTTATAAATTGATTTGCATTTTAATGAGGGATTTCGCAAACACTACTTCCAATTAGTCTATCACTATGGTCTCCTGTCTATGACTAACACTATGACCTTCTTAGTCCTTATTTGGGCTGACCCCCAACTGTCTCTTCACCGCTCTGTCTGACTCTTATTGTGGCCCATTTCCTCTTCCCCTGTTAGGTTCTTGTTCATTCTGCTGGGGCCTCTTGGGAAAGGGCCACAGTATCATGAGATTGGCCGATCCATTGCAACTCTCATGACAGACGAGGTAAGACAGCCTCTCCAATGGTGAACATAGTTGTTGGGCATGACTGAACGAACATGTCAATTAATGACTGAATTTTCATTCTTCTTCATTCCAAGGTTTTCCATGATGTCGCCTACAAAGCGAAGGACCGCAATGATCTAATTGCTGGAATCGATGAGTTCCTTGACCAAGTGACTGTCCTGCCACCGGGGGAGTGGGATCCCTCTATAAGAATAGAGCCACCAAAAAATGTACCGTCTCAGGTGAGTTTAGCCCCTTCTTTAAAAACAAGTCTTTCATCATTGGACATACAAATCACAGCAATGTCTTTCATTTGAAAAAGGAAAAAAATAACAGATGTGGTGTTTGAAAAACAGGAGAAGAGGAGGAGTGCAGCACAGTGCGGCACAGACCCAGGGGATGAAGAGGAGGAGGACGAGGGACATGGGGGTCCGGAGCTGCAGCGGACAGGACGGTAGGTGGGGGGGTGTATGTGGTTGTGTTTGTGGTTGTGTATTATGTGGTTGTGATTGTGTATTATGTGGTTGTGTTTGTGGTTGTGTATTATGTGGTTGTGGTTGTGGTTGTGTATTATGTGGTTGTGTTTGTGTTGTGTATTATGTGGTGGTGGTTGTGGTTGTGTATTATGTGGTTGTGTTTGTGGTTGTGGTGGTTGGGTATTATGTGGTGTGTTTGGGTTGTGTATTATGTGGTGTGGTTGTGTATTAGTGGTTGTGTTTGGTATTATGTGTTTGTTTGTGGTTGTGATTATGTGTTGTGGTTGTGGGTTGTGTTGGGTTGTGTATTATGGGTTGTGTTGGGTGTGTATTATGTGGTTGGTTGTGGTTGTGGTGATGTGGTTGTTGTGTGTGTTATTGTGTTTGGTTGTGTATTATGTGGTGGTTGTGGTTGTGTATTATGTGGTTGTAGTATATGTTGGTCGTGGTTGGTTGTGTGTATTATGTGGTCGTGTATTGTATTGTATTATGTGGTTTGGGGTTTGGTTGTGATATGTGGTTGTGGTTGTGTATTATGTGGTTGTGTATTATGGGGTTGTGGTTGTGTATTATGTGGTTGTGTATTATGTGGTTGTGGTTGTGTATTATGTGGTTGTGTATTATGTGGTTGTGGTTGTGTATTATGTGGTTGTGTTTGTTTATTATGTGGTTGTGTATTATGTGGTTGTGTATTATGTGGTTGTGTATTATGTGGTTGGGTTGTGTATTAAGAAAGAAAGATGGATAAAAATAAACCAGGTTTTTCTCCTGGTATTTGAAACATCTATCTATGGAACATTGCACAGAGGCCAGGCTTGCCATTGCCACTGATCTCCCTCCCAGGTGACTGTGTGCAGTTCATGCAAAGGTTGCCATAGCAACTTCCTGCAGTGAGCTCCCAATTGCCTTGTCTATATTCTGCAGCAGGGGCATGAGCTCATGCTAAGTCATCCTCATGACTGTATCTATTTTATGCCCATTAAGTTCTTTTGGAGAGGGGGAAATCAAAAAGAAAGGCTCCAGCTGCAAGCTAAATCCTCACCACGAGACAGCAGGTTACCCATGTGGTTGTAGTTTGATTCAGTCATTAGAAGAGATGCTATACATGACCGTATTAATGCAGTCCACTATTTTCTCTATGGTGTTATAATGTTTCCAGATTCTGTGGTGGTCTCCTGTTGGACATCAAACGCAAGGCGCCACACTACCTGTCTGACTACACAGACGCTGTCAGCCTGCAGTGCTTGGCCTCCTTCCTCTTCCTGTACTGTGCATGCATGTCGCCTGTCATCACGTTCGGGGGTCTACTAGGAGAGGCAACAGAAGGACGCATAGTAAGACACCAGGGTTTCATCCCAAATGGCTGTCTATTCCCTACATACTGCACTATTTTTGGGTCATGGTCAATAGAGAGCCATTTGGGATGCAGCCCATCCCTGTCGAATACACAGTGATAGAATGAAAAAGAGATTGATTGAAGTTCAGCCTTTCTTACGCATGGATATTCTCTGAATTTGTTTCCTGCAGAGTGCAATCGAATCACTTTTTGGCGCCTCCATGACGGGAATAGCCTATTCCCTGTTTGCTGGCCAGCCACTCACCATATTGGGCAGCACAGGGCCTGTGCTGGTGTTTGAGAAGATATTGTACAAATTCTGCAAGTAAGTTTGAATAAAATACTGTAGTTATTTAAGCAATAAGGCCCGAGGAGGTGTGGTATATGGCCAATATACCACTGCTAAGGGCTGTTCTTAGGCACGACGCAATGCTAAGTGCCAGGATACAGCCCTTGGCCGTGGTATATTGGACATACAGTACATCACAAAACCCTGAGGTGCCTTATTGCTATTATAAACTGGTTACCAACGTAATTAGAGTAGTAAAAATAAATGTTTTGTCATACGCGTGGTATACGGTCTGATATACCACGGCTGTCAGCAAATCAGCATTCAGGGCTCGAACCATGCAGTTTATACAATTCTATAACACCCATGTGATTAATCATCTATCTAGCCCACTGCTCTAAGGCCATTTCTGTATCTGTACCCACATCTCGGATAATCTGTGATTAGATTGTATGATGATCTTCTGTCCTTATAACAATAGCAATATAGAATGACCGGATGCAATATACACTCTTAGAAAACAAAGGTGCTATCTAGAACCTAAAATGGTTCTTCCGCTGTCCCCAAAGGAGAACCCTTTGAAGAACCCTTATTGTTTCCAGGTAAAACCCTTTTGGGTTCCATGAGGGTTCTACCTGGAACCAAAAAGGTTTCTCCAATGGGGACAGCCAAAGAACCCTTTTGGGAAAAAAAAATTCTAAGAGTGTACTGCCAAAATACATGGATAATTTAATGTCCTATACTGCTTTAAAGAGTATTAAAATACCATTGTTATAATGACGACCTCAGATTCAGTATATTCTGCGGATAGATAGATATACAGGTAACTGCCAAAATAAAGGAAACACCAACATAAAGTGTTTTGATAGGGCATTGGGCCACCACAAGCCAGAACAGCTTCAATGGACCTTGGCATAGATTCTTCAAGTGTCTGGAACTCTATTGGAGGGATGTGACACCATTCATCCATGAGAAATTCCATCATTTGGTCTCAGGCACCGCTCCAGAATCTCCCATGTGTTCAATTGGGTTGAGATCTGGTGACTGAGTTTTCATGCTCATCAAACCATTCAGTGACCACTCATGCCCTGTCGATGGGGGCATTGACATCTTACGGGGGCATAGCCATGGTAGCCAAAATAATGGCATGCCCAGCATATCCCTAAGCATGATGGGATGTTAATTGCTTAATGAACTCAGGAACCACACCTGTGTGGAAGCACCTGCTTTTAATATACTTTGTATCCCTCATTTACACAAGTGTTTCCATTATTCTGGCAGTTATCTGTAGATAGTGGATAAAATATCCCACAGATGTTGTCATATAATGTATGCTGCAGTACAGTGAGGTTTTAACTCTCTCCTCAGGGAGTATGGATTATCCTACCTCTCACTGAGAACCTGTATAGGGCTGTGGACAGCATTCCTCTGCCTGGTCCTAGTGGCCACAGACGCTAGCTCCCTGGTCTGTTACATCACACGCTTCACAGAGGAGGCCTTCGCCTCGCTCATCTGCATCATCTTCATCTACGAGGCCTTGGAGAAGCTCATCCACCTGGGGGAACACTACCCCATCAACATGAACAACAACCTGGACAAACTCACACAGTACTCGTACGTTTGCACTCACTCCATTGAAAGTGCCTTTTAATCCAGAACTAGGCTAAATCGGTTCCTTAGAGTTCTGAACGAAAGTCATATCTTTAATTTGAGATGATTGTGATCAGTGAGGGATTTAATGGTGAAGTGTTCCACTGTTTCTATAGGTGTTCATGTGTTGAACCTCCAGATCCAAGCAATGCCACCGTACAGTACTGGGAGCAGAGCAACATCACTGCTTCGGAGATCTACTGGGAGGCACTCGAGGTTAAGGTACCGTATAAGAGTGTCTAGTTAAATCTGTGGAATCTATGGAAAGGATCAAGCAAAATTCAGAGAAGGAGTTATTCTGGGTCAGGTCTCGTGTTCTGAGAAACCCCCCTGGCCATATAGTACATAAAGGACAACAATTTGTTGTTTAATAAACGGAATTAGAGAGCAAAAACAGGTGTTCCCCACAAAGTGGCATACTCTCCCAGATGGAGCTGGTCCTGTGCAGAAGATTAAGGACATGTGGTTGACTGGATTATTCTGGATTACCCCATGCCAAATCACCATAAAAGCATATTTGTATTATTCATTTTCCTTTTCGTGGACAAGGATGCTCTTAACCCAAGGCCCTCTTAACCAAAGGATTTAGTAATTGACAGCAATGTCATGCACCGTTAATTCCACTTGTAGTAGCGCAGACCAATCATCCTCCTCTACCTGTTGTTGCAGGACTGCATAGAGAAAAGAGGGGAGTTTGTGGGCAGCGCCTGTGGCCCTCACGGACCCTATATTCCAGATGTTCTCTTCTGGTCCGTCGTTCTCTTCTTCTCCACTGTCTTCATGTCAGCTTTCCTAAAGGAGTTCAAGTTCAGCCGTTACTTCCCCACCAAGGTAAGGCAGCAGACCCAGATCCTACTGTAATCCCATTGGTTTGTATCTATTATGTGTTTGTAGACTGCAGACAGGCTTTCTGTCATTCTGCTGAGGTTTATGGTGCAGTGGAGCACTCTAGTGGTCATATGTGAGTACTGTCTGATTATGGTAGTTCAAAGCTAATTAATAATAAAATAGAGTTTTTAATTAAGAAAAGAGTCGCGCCTCCACTTTGTATTTTGTATTCTATTATGATTTAAGGCATAACCCATTGTTTGGGCAAGGAACCCCCCTTTTTTCTGACTAGTGGCCCATGTGAGAATTGAATCCACAACCATTGTGCTCAGCGTTTGAGTGCCCTGTGCAATCTGTGATTGATATTAAACAATGATATAGATGGTTCCTGTACTAAGACCAGACAGTTGACATGCACCCCTCTCTTGCACAGTTGAGAGCTGTCATCAGTGACTTTGCTGTGTTCATCACCATCTTTACCATGGTACTGGTGGACTATGCCTTAGGGGTCCCATCACCAAAACTAAAAGTCCCCAGTGTGTTTAAGGTGAGCTATATAACAAAGTATTACAAGATGATTATACATTTTTACTCAAAATACTGTACACCATGGACATGTGCCATGCTATGTAGATGCAATATTTACCAATAATCCAAATCCTTGCAGCCGACCAGAGATGACCGTGGTTGGTTGATCAGCCCATTAGGCGGCAACCCTTGGTGGACCACCATCGTAACAGTGATCCCTGCTCTGCTCTGCACTATCCTCATCTTCATGGACCAACAGATCACCGCTGTCATCATCAACAGGAAGGAGCACAAACTAAAGGTAGTGTAGGATACTGTAATGGCTCAGCTCAGCTCATTGTAAGTCACTCTGGAAAAGAGCGTCTGCTAAATGACGTAAATGTAAATGTAAATATGGGAGGCTTTGTTCACCATAACCTGAATGTCCCCTTTTTAGTTGGCTTTGATTTGGTGCATGTGTAGTTGATTGTGAAATATTGGAAAGCGTCCAGTACTGGTTGATATGGACTGGAAAAGTCCCTTTCAGAAGTATTTTTCTACTTGGGGAATTAGTTAACATTTTGACAATAATTTCCTGAACTATTATAAAATGTTGACGATCCGGAATATTGAGTAGTGTATTCTCAGTTGTACTGTATTGTGTTTCCCTCCCCACAGAAAGGCTGTGGGTACCATCTGGACCTGTTCGTGGTGGGTCTCATGCTGGGGGTGTGCTCCATCATGGGCCTGCCCTGGTTCGTGGCTGCTACCGTTCTCTCCATCTCCCACGTCAACAGTCTGAAGCTGGAGTCAGAGTGCTCTGCCCCCGGGGAACAGCCCAAGTTCCTGGGCATCCGCGAGCAGCGCTTCACCGGCCTCATGATCTTCCTACTCATGGGCTGCTCGGTGTTCATGACATCTGTGCTCAAGGTCAGATAGCTTCTCTGAGGACATATTGTGTTGGCTCTAAATGTGTTCCTATTGCAGTGTGATAGAAGTGTCTCTCATGCACACGTTGTATTTATTTTGCACCCAGTGTATTAGTCTGCAGTGCCTCAAAGTATACTCAAATATTTTCCACTATGTTTTGTAGAGTTGAATCACACTTTTTCAACCATTTCCTGGTTGATGCTTGTATGACTGAATCATAATATAATTGCTCTTGTCCCTTTAGTACATTCCCATGCCTGTGTTGTATGGCGTATTCCTGTACATGGGAGCATCTTCGCTCAGAGGAATACAGGTAGGAGATCACTAAACACACTAAGATGCAGTTTCTGTACAGTACATTACATTCTCAGTCAACATTGACTTGTAAGGTGCAGGGCCTTGGTCGAGTGGATAACACTCCCGGCACAAGTGACATACACTGAGTTTCAGTGGCGGCTCCTGAAAAAATTCTCAGGGGGGGCAATTTTTCTGATGATTTAGGTGACCTACACACATTTTTAAAAAGATATGTCCAGCAACAACATGAAGACAGGGGCAGCATATAAGTCAATACTGATATACACATTACTTGCTTCAAAAAGGCCTCATGGTTGAATTGGAAATATGTGCATCTGAGCATAATTCACAACAAGCAAGCAGGAGCTTTTGATAGAGGCTACTGAAAACATTGATGCAAGTTATTGGTAATAAGACATTTTTATAGACTTCCATATTCTGCCCTCTTGTATAGATTTGTGAAAATGAACAGTGATAGACATTTTGCCTGAAAACAGAATTTGAAAATAATTTCTAGAAAAGGTAAACACAGCTATATGTATGGCTTTGTAAAAATGAACAACCATATTCTGGCCAATTGTATAGATTTGTAAATATGATGATGTCTCCTTTCATGCATACATTTTCAAATAAAGCTCTGCTTTGAGAAAGATCGAATGATATTGTTTAATCTTACCTTATGGCCTGCACACTGCTTGTGAAGCTGTCGAGGGCACGTTTGATGAAGACAGCATCGATGTCCTTCTGTAGCTTCTGGTACAGAATGTCGACGTGGGGCATGATTTTGTGAAAAAGCCCCAGGAAAAAAATAAAATCTTTCTTGCTATCTATGTACCTCAGCACAAGCACCAGCTGTGTCTGTGTAGAAACGTCCGTGGTCTCGTCAGCTTGGATAGCTACGAAGTTCGCCGACTTCACCTCCTCCACAATATGTTCCCTCATGACCGCTAGCATACACTCCAGTAGCTCGTTTGAATGGTCTTTGATGTGCCCTTGAAAACTTTAGCATTTTTAAGATGGTCATCAAACACCTCATCTAATTGTGCCACAAAGTTGACAAGTCCAAGAAAAATACCAGGGTTGGTGGAGCCCTCAGTTTCATCTTTGCCTCGCAAAGCTAACTCAAACACTCCGCAAAACTTCACACACTGGATTAGCCGGCTGAGGATGTGGCGGTTCTTGCTAACCTCATCGTTGTGGCGGCGGACAGCTAGCCTGTATCCCTCATCCAGTTGAGTGGCAATGTTCACTCTCCCCAAAGCAGACAATCTCAAACAGCTATCCATGTGGGTCTTTGACAGCTCATGTTTCTTAATCTTTTCTGAAAGATGGTGCATGTCCGTTACACCAGTCGCTGTCCAAGCGGTGCTGTCTGCCGTGCCGCCTTCAGGGTGAAAGAGTAAGCAGGGGTAGCAGAAGACTGCATTAGCTACATCGCAGCCTGCTAGCCAGGTTTTTCGTTCGTACCAATTTTTGGAAAATCCTCGGGTGTAGGACTTCCCCCCTTTAGTAGAAACCTGTTGAATTATTACATTTGGTCTGGGAGGTCCTAATTGTTTCGTTGCCAATTTATCTTGATTTGTTCGCCGACAAAAATGAACTTCTTTCAAAGAGACAATCGAGTTGCACTGAACGCTAGCCATTTTGACAGTAGTACGTGAATTGATTGACGCTGCTACCCGCTCTTTTCTTAGTTATGTTCATGGTTATGTTACGTATGACGAAAGCGCGTAAGTGCAAGCCCTCCCGGAACCCATAGAGATTGTATTGAAAGCTCTGATATTTGAAAAAAAAAAGATTTTACATGAGAGTCTGAGAGACTTCTGGGGCGATTTTCAACCTGACTGAAATCGCCCCAAAACGGGCGGGGCCATTTGAAGCACGACTTTAGCCTGATTGGACATTTAGTGGCAGATCAGACGTCTAGATTAGAACACTAAAAACTACTGTTGCCGTGATATAATTGATTAGAAAAAAAATCCCTTCCTTTTCCCGTTTGGCAGTGCGTCGCCCATATCGCCCTAATGAACACACCGCCCCTGCTGAGTTTACAAAACATTAAGGACACCTGATCTTTCCATGACAGACTGACCAGATGAATCCAGGTGAAAGCTATGATCCCTTATTGATTTCACTTGTTAAATCCACTTCAGATGAAGGGGAGGAGACAGGTTAAAGAAGGATGTTTAAGCTTTGAGACAATTGAGACATGGATTGTGTATGTGTGCCATTCAGATGGTGAATGGACAAGACAATGGTAGTATGGTAGTAGGTGCCAGGCACACCGGTTTGTGTCAAGAACTGCAATGCTGCTGGGTTTTTCACTCTCAACAGAAGCTGTTAAGAAGCCTTTTGAACCTAGACTTGGCGCTCCGGTACCGCTTGCCGTGCGGTAGCACAGAGAACAGTCTATGACTAGGGTGGCTGGAGTCTTTTTTAGGGCCTTCCTCTGACAATGCCTGGTATAAAGGTCCTGGATGGCAGGAAGCTTGGCCCCAGTGATGTACTGGGCCATATGCACTACCCTCTGTAGCGCCTTGCGGTCGGAGGCCGAGAAGTTGCCATACCAGGCGGTGATGCAACCAGTCAGGATGCTCTTGATAGTGCAGTTGTAGAACTTTTTGAGGATCTGGGGACCCATTCCAAATATTTTCAGTCTCCTGAGGGGGAATAGGCGTTGTCGTGCCCTCTTCATGACTGTCTAGGTGTATTTGGACCATGATAGTTTGTTGGTGATGTGGACACCAAGGAACTTGAAGCTCTCAACCTGCTCCCCTACATGTGAGAATGGGGGCGTGCTCTGCCCTCCTTTTCCTGTAGTCCATGATCATCTCCTTTGTCTTGATCAGGTTGAGGGAGAGGTTGTTGTCCTGGCACCACGCTGCCAGGTCTCTGACCTCCGTATAGGCTGTCTCATCGTTGTCGGCGATCAGGCCCAGCCAACTTGACAAAACTGCGGGAAGCATTGGAGTCAACTTGGGCCAGGATCCCTGTTGAACGCTTTCGACACCTTGTAGAGTCCATGCCCCGAGGAATTTAGGCTGTTTTGTAGGCAAAAGGGGGCAGTGTTTTGTACACTCAGTGTATATGCCTTCACACCAGAGACCAGGGTTCAATTCCTATCTCCACCCTTCCTCCTAAATCTCCCTCCTTACTCTCACCCCATCTGTTTCTGTGCATGTCTGAATAAAGCATGAAATGTACTTTAAAAAACAAACATAGGCTTGTAAGGCTAAGTCCTAGCACACTTGACCTACATCTAAAGCTAAGTTCACAAAGACCATCTGAGAACATTAAGACTCCTCTCAACACAGTACAGCAACACAGAAACCGGAATACAATGGTCCTGAGGTTGTAATGTAATCCATTGTTCTATTGCTCATCAGTTATTTGACCGTCTGAAGCTGTTTGGCATGCCAGCCAAGCACCAGCCTGACTTCATCTACCTGAGACACGTTCCCCTGAGGAAGGTCCATCTCTTCACCATCATCCAGCTCAGCTGCCTGGTCATGCTCTGGGTCATCAAGACCTCCAATTATGCCATTGTCTTCCCCATGATGGTTAGCAAACATCTTTCTCCCTTTAAGTCTCATACAGTAGATTCATCTGAATGGGTTTACATGCCAAATATGCCAAGGCAATCCATTGTCTTAAGTTATACATTATGAAGCCTAGATGCCTTGATGCTCTACAGAAACAGGAGATAGGCTCCTGCCCTATGGCTGGGACAAAGATTGCTTCTGCAGATGATTCTGTCTGTATAGTAATGTAGAGTTTGTGTTCCTTGCAGGTGTTGGCTCTGGTGTTCATTAGGAAGCTGATGGATTGCTTCTTCACCAAGAGAGAGATGAGCTGGCTGGATGATCTAATGCCAGAGAGTAAGAAGAAGAAACTGGAGGATGCTGAAGAAGAGGTATGAAACAGTGGAGGCTGCTGAGGGGAGGACAGCTCATAATAATGGCTGGAACGGAGCCAATGGAATGTCATCAAACACATAGAAACCATGTGTTTGATTTATTTGATACCATTCCAGTAATTCTGCTCCAGCCATTACCACGAGCCCATCCTCCCCAATTAAGGTGGCACCAACCTCCTGTGGTATGAAAATAGCATCAAGGAAGATTAGCCCTTTGGTGGGCTAAAATAAACCCTAAAAATCAATACATGACACTGATATGCCATATATCAGTAGATCATTTTTACTTGAGATATGTAACTTCTGTTGTAATGGTTCATCTCTGCGTTTGTTTTAACAAATATATTACATACAGTACTAGATATCACTAGTGTAACAAGTTCCTGTTGATTTTCTTATTCCTAAGGAGGAGGAGCAAAGTATTTTGGGAGAGGAAGATGGAGTAGTGCAAGTACCATTAGAAGGATATCAAAAGTAAGTTATCAGCCATTGTGAGTGAAAAAAATATTAATAGAATCAAACTTCATGCGTCATTGGTAGTATAATAGTTAACTGATTGATGTGAATTATTATGCATGATTATGTCTTGTTTTTTTAGGAGTGAATCCGCACTCAACATCACTGATGAAATGTTGAAAGGCTCTTTTGGAAACACGTGGAATGTCAACTCTGACAACTCTAAAAAAGAGCTAGACTCAAAAAGGTATTGAATTGCCTCAGTCATGTTCATCCAAAATCAACACATTGAAGTTGAAAACCTCTCTTCAAATTTGTATTCTGTCAGTCTGTATAAAAATTTATGAATATGAATACATGCATGTAACTCAAACATTCTTGCTAATTTCCCCATGGCATCAGTTCATTTAGAATATCTCAAGTTAGGATTCCTCGTCAAGTTTATTTGTGTTATAACCCATTAAAGAAACGAAAAACATCTATGTACCATTGAATTCATTTACCAAGTTTAATGTTCATATAAAGGATTTTTAGGATATTGATACTGTATGTCATTGCTACTGTAAACAAACATTTTGATTTTATTTATCTACATTCAATGTAGAAAGGGGTTGCCATTACATTTTAGAGCTGATGAGTTGTTCCCTTTCTTGACTGTATTTTCCCATTCCATCTCTATCATTAGCTCCCTTATATCCTCCTAGATGCTGAATCCCCCAAAGGTAAGAGTCTGATCCCTGTGCCCTTGCTTGCTCATCCTTAGTCTGTTTGGTGACCATCACTTAAAATTAAAATTAAAATAAATAATGGGTTTCTCTTTGCATGATATGAGGCAGGACAGAAAAATGTCACACTTTTCAATTTACCATTTGGTTGAAACTAGATGCTGCTTATTCTGCATTCTACAAATTGTCATGGCAACTACATGATACTTTTTTTTAGTTCATCAACACTGAGAGAGCACAGCTCTTTGGAACTCTGTAATGACTGCCGATGTTAGGCAAAGATAAACATTTTGGATGCTAAATCCATTACCTTTCCACTGCTTGGAATATAAACCCAGCAGATAACAGGCAGTGAAGATTAAACAGAAACTCAGTTTAAAGTGACATGACTGAGACAGCAAGGATGTCAAGTGCATATAGGAGCCATCTCTGAATGATGCTACTGTATCAATCAGTCTCTGCTAGCATGCCAATCATCCTTTGACTGTGTGCCTCAGCCAGTGGCTGTAAAGGGCAGGTTGGCCAGGAGCGCTACAGCATACTAGCTGCAGGTGACTTTGTATTGGTACATCTCTCCTGAAGAACTGCTCTTTCATGAACATTGTCTGAGGTCTTGCCCTTCTGACCCCAAACCTCTCAGCTGCCTGGAACATACCGTACAATACTATATATGCGAGTGGATTAGCATGTGGTTACTAAAGCATATTAAATATGAACCTAATGTTAATGTAAAGACCCTCCCAACTAAGACATCAGTTGATAATACATTTGGGGGCAGTTTCCCGGACACTGATTAAGCCTAGTCCTGGACTAAAACGCATTCTCAATGGAGAATCTTCATTGTTGGAGCTGGACAGCTGATAGGTATAAGCTACGTTCTGAAGCTGTATACTTGAAAGCACTAACAGCCAGTGTTTATACCCACAGCTTATCCAAGAACAGTGGAAGGAAACAGAAGAAGAGGAGAAAGATGCAGAAGGGCTGCTTCGAACAGGGAGACAAGTTTATGACGTTTCCCCCTTCACTGTGTTTTAAATAAATCAATATTGTGTGCCACAGTTTACCATTCCTTTATGTTTTTTCTTCTAAATCTTTGTGTGTTCAAAAGCGTAAAACAGTATTTTTTAGTTGATGTGTCCAAAACTGCTTAAACCTAAAGAAATGTAAGCCTCTTTTATTTTTATTTTTTTGTGTTTTTAAATGGCAATTAATACCAGCAAGATATAGGAGAGGTTAGTTTCACTGTATGTGAAAGCAACGGAATGTTTGTGTCGAGGATGAATCTGTCACATTAAGAAACTATTTTCAAGTTGTTTGTTTTTGAATTTATTGTGTGTATTTTGTATGTTTTTGTATTTTTTCAGTATCATAATATTACAGTTGTTTGAAATTGATAAATTATCCAACTAGATAAACAATCAATTTAAAGTTTGTACAATACTGCAGTTAAAGACTATGAACGGAAGTATATATATACATATATCTTTGATGAATTAATCTATCTATAGGCAAAGTCAAAATGTGCGTTACGCATGAAGTTTTAATTAATTAACTATTATAAAATATACTGCATCTGCTTGAATTTCAAAATGCTATAAATGCAAAGAAAATCTACAGTATCTGTGTTTTAGCATTCCATTTTTTGCATTATGATTTCAGCTTTTTGCAATAGCCTTTAAGCTTTGAATATTGTTGAAATGTATTACTACCAGTAAGGAGATTAGTTGAAAATAGTTTTTTAAAATATTATTTATGGTTGGAAATGTGTTCAAGCATTACATTGAGCATCTGATTAGTAAACCAAGCCTAACTTAAGTTGTAGAATACTGTTACGCATATCAATTGATAGTATTGAAACAATTTTAAAGAAGAAATTAAAATCCTGGCTTTAGTTTAAATTATCATATTTATTTTCATAGTCATACTGCCAAAGTTTAAATAGTTGCAGTTATTGCAGTATATCAATATTTTCAAGCTGCAAAGTACATGCTTATATGTCATTTTATGTTTGTTGTTTGTCAGGGGCCATCGTGTGTGCCCAGGAAGGATTGTCCACTCAATAACTAAAGATGAAGCTGAACTAATACTTGAAGGTGTCTGCTAAAGGGCAACATACATGGCTATAGAAACAATTGCAATAGCACTTTTTCTAGAAGGAGAAAATGTATAGTATATTTATTGTTATAACATTTTTGAAACTATTTCCTTTGTACAATAACAACAATGAATTTGTTCACATATAATTAGCTATGCCGATTTATCTATAATACATACCTGTTGCTTCATTTTAAATGATTAGTATCTGCAAAATATTTTAAAATCTCTTGTTGAACATTTCTACTACTACTCGTTACTAATTTTACTTAGCTCGGAATTAATTAGTTTAAATAGTCACTCAATCAGTTTTGTTTGTGGCAGAAATCATTGTAAGGAAACATGGAACTGCAAAACAATAAGTTGTTATTGGTCTTTGGAGCTGATGTATTACTGTTTATGATGTATCTTGTATATGTACATTTACTATGAAAGTATAAACCTCAAACGTAATAAATGTATTTGAACATGTTTCTTTTCCCGGTCAATATTACTGCATGCTGTTTGGAATGTCTGATGTGGGCTTGACACTTCAAAAAATGTCCCCAAAAATAACCTTAATTCTCCTTTTGAGACAGTTTCTAGATTCACTTTGTAAGCTTTGACTTATGAGAAAGCCAAGGCATGTGCAAATTCTAGTGAATAACGGCAGTGAGGGTATGCTTTGAGTTCAAGTTGACCAGTCAACCGTATACACTAGGTCAGGTCACTTACACTGTAGGTGAGAGTGTTTGACAGCAATCCGCTCAACTGAGTCTTCCGCTACACTCACAGCCACACCTGCCTTGTGAGCATGAGGTTGGATAAAGATGAAGTACACATGCTGAAGTCATTCAGTGCAGGAACTCAATTTGCCTGGAGGTAATACAATACAGTGAGGGAAAAAAGTATTTAATCCCCTGCTGATTTTGTACGTTTGCCCACTGACAAATAAATTATCAGTCTATAATTTTAATGGTAGGTTTATTTGAACAGTGAGAGACAGAATAACAAAACAAAATTCCAGAAAAACACATGTCAAAAATGTTATAAATTGATCTGCATTTTAATGAGGTAAGTCCCGGCGACAGACGGCATGGCAGAAGAGGCGAACAAACTAGCAATCTATGCCGCGGTGGATAACCATGTTCAGAACAACCAGGTAGTTGGAGTGGGCAGTGGATCCACCATCGTGTATGCTGTAGACAGACTAGCGGAGAGAGTTCGTCAAGAGAAGCTCAACATAGTGTGTGTCCCCACCTCCTTCCAGGCTCGTCAGTTAATTCTGCAGCGTGGTCTAACCCTGTCTGATCTGGATAGAAACCCTGAGCTGGACGTGGCCATTGACGGGGCAGACGAGGTGGATGCAGCTCTCACACTCATCAAAGGAGGAGGAGGCTGTCTGACTCAGGAGAAGATCGTAGCCGGCTGTGCCAAACACTTCATCGTAATTGCTGACTTTAGGAAGGACTCCTCGGCCCTGGGCCAGCAGTGGAAGAAGGGTGTTCCTATAGAAGTGATCCCTATGGCCTACACCCCCGTCTCCAGGGCTATAGCCAAGCGTTTCGGAGGGGAGGCAGTGCTCCGCATGGCCATCAGTAAAGCTGGTCCGGTGGTAACAGACAACAGTAACTTCCTTCTGGACTGGAAGTTTGAACACACTCACAACTGGAAGGAGGTTAATACAGCTATAAAGATGATACCAGGTGTGGTAGAGACAGGTCTGTTTGTGGGGATGACAGAGAGGGTATACTTTGGGATGGAGGATGGTAGTGTTCGTATCAGAGACCCCCCAGTCAACTGACCAGAGCCCTGCTCCAGCACCACCTGGAACCAACCACCATCAACCATCTCATCTCAACCATGACTGTAAGTCGCTTTGGATAAAAGCGTCTGCTAAATGGCATATTATTTTATTATTATTATAACCACAAGTGCCCTAATATTCTATCTCTGCCTGATCTGACGGACTCCGACTGTGATTGGTGTAAAAATAGTCACCTGTAATTTTGCCTCACACAGACACAACGTCACCTCAACATCTGTCTCTCATCATGACATGTACGGACCCAAATGGCACTACCTTTGACCAAGGCATATAGACCCATGGGGCTCTGGTCAAAAGGAGTGTAGTATGTAGGGATTAGGGTGCCATTTGGGACTGTCTTAAATAATGTCACTGTCATAAACGTCCAACCTGCATTGACTCACTGTGGCTGTAGCTAAAACTGCATTGACTCACTGTGGTCGCAGCTAAACCTGCATTGACTCACTGTGGCCATAGCTAAACCTGCATTGACTCACTGTGGCTGTAGCTAAACCTGCATTGACTCACTGTGGTCGTAGCTAAACCTGCATTGACTCACTGTGGCCGTAGCTAAACCTGCATTGACTCACTGTGGCTGTAGTAGCTAACAGGGTGTAGTAACATCAGTCAGTGGTGTGTT